CACTTCCTCACTGCTATAATCTTGCAACGGAGCTCTATAGCTGTGTGCTTTGTTACTTGTACTGTATTAAGAAGGCTATAGTCCACTTATAACAATTTGGTGCCTCCTGACGGAAAGGAAAAATTCTTGCACTAAAATCTCTATTAGCTTTAGGTTTTCTTTAATAACTCTATGAATATTGACTCTATTTTAAAAATCTCACCTTCTTTATGTTCTTCGAAACATCCTCTATCTTTTGGTATATAGGTTACTTAATATCAAAACACTTCTCCATCACTCTAAAAATTGTCCAAGTTTTTACTCCCTTTTCTTTACTATAAACCTTATTTCTATATACCTTTTTACATAAACTTTGATTCTTAATATCTTGCCATCTATCCAACCAATTTGGATGATCTCACCTCCTTTAGATTTGTAGAAAGCTCCTCTACATTTTCTTTCTAAGTTATAAATCTTGTTAGCATAGCACCAACACCTTGAACATTTGACTTTTCTATTTGTAGTTAAAGTTTTATACCCTAAGGGAAACTCTGCCAGATTTATTCTCCAAGAAGATATTTATTTACAACCCCAGCTATTACTAAGGTGTAATAGTTTATTTTTGGAAATCTTGACAAATTGAAAGAGATTTGTTCAGAAAGACACACTTGAAGCCTCTGCTTTTGTAGCAACCTTAGAAATCCTAACAAATTGAAAGAGATTTGTTCAGAAGAGCATACTTGAAGCCTCTGCTTTTGTAACAACTTAGAAAATCCTGACAAATTGAAAGAGATTTGCTCAGAAGGGCACACTTGAAGCCTCTGCTTTTGTAGCACCCAAGAGATAGCTAGCAGCTTACTGCGAACCTTAATTAAGAAGATTAAGCACAAATTACCTACGAGCCAAAGTGTAGGCATAAGTAATTCTATCCAAGATTATAACAACAACCTCTAGAACCAGAACACTTTTAATTAAATATTACAACCAAGAGTCTGCTCATGGCATTATATGCATCGAGAATACGAGTTACATTTAGAAAGAATTAGACTATATGCACAAGACCATGAGGATACTAGTCTTTTTAATGAAACCCTCTAAGTACTTTCACCTGACGATTCGTATAGATACTGCTTTCCTGCCTGCAACTATCATCGCTCTTTCCGTAGTTTTTGGAATTGGTATCAACGACAATTTGCTGCTACCTTCTACACCCAAATAACAATTGCAGCTCACCTTAACTTAACTACAAACTCTAACTACCCTGTAGCTCGAGTCTCAGTTAGAAATCTTATCTTTAGTTGCAGATATCGACTCCCTCTTGAAAGTTCTCACCGAGTAGCAACTACCCTCTTAACTAATTATATTAGACATCGGCTTGCTCCTTACTTGCCTCTGGGATTTGTCTCTAATGTTTTTGATCCCTATATTGAAGACTCTGAGTATACATCTAGTGTCTATCAAACCACTGACAGTAACCAAGAATTAGAGGACTCTAGTTCATCTTTACCCTCTACATCCCAAAGAGAAATTACTAGTGATTTACACAGGTCGAATAAAGACATATCGGGATATATACAGCCAGTAAAATATCATTGGCATATCAAAAATCATATGATACCGATATTTTATTAGTTATACTGGAGACAAATCAGAATTACTGAAATAACTATCGGAAATACCGATATAATTATCAGCAAATTAAAAAGAAATAAAAAAAAATTTATAAAATAGTAATTTATCAGAAAAGTATCAGTAAAACCAATAGTATTATTGATTTATCGATATTTGTCTGATATTAATCTTATAAATATTAATATCAGAGACATATCAAAATATGATATGAAACCAATTTTAGAATGAAATATCGATAAATATCATTATTACTGTATTATTTTATATAGGTCGAATTAGATGGCTTCGCTGCTATAATAAATATATTAAAAATAATAGATTTGTTTATCTTATTTTTATTTTAAAAAAAAATCTTAAGCCTTTCTGATATTAAATGCATCTACTTGTATTAAATTAACTACTTAATATTGGCCGAAATACAAGAAAAATACTTTCTTTTTTAAAATTTAAATTGTATATAAATATAAATATTTTTATACTTACTGTATTCATTTTAACCACATTTCTAAAATAATAATTAATTAATCATTTCAACTTGATATAATCTTATGAAAAATGGTTTTATTAAAACACAAAGGAATCTGTTTACTATTGTTACAGGCTTTATCCCCTATAACTAAAATATTATATCTCCAAAGAAAACAATATATTCGAACTAACTGGCTATAAAACCCATTCTTACAAAAAACTTATAATCTCTAATATCTAAGCATACAGGAACAGGTTATCAAGAAGAGCTCTATTTAGCTTCAAAAAAAATCGATTATGTAGTCATTCATAAAGTCATAAAGATGGTGAAGGTTCAACAAAGAACTGTTGCAACTGCGAAACTCAAAACCCATCTTATGAGATCTTTATATTATTGCATATACCTGCTGAGTCTAATTACCACCAAATGAGGCTCTTGTATCAAACAACTTTTAAACATACTGATTATTGAAACTAGTTTCTTTGTAACTTTTTTAACAAGCTCTTCATTATAAAAAAACTAGTAATAGACTAGAAAATAGCTACATAGATATTCATATATAAGGTTATCAACTTTATATTGGTATTTTATAAAATCACTCTTTTTAATAAATCGAGATCTAATCATTAGTTATACGAAATCAGTATAAATATTACTATTTTTTATCTTCTGAAGTACATTATTTTTTTCTAGCTTTTTTTGAAATTTCATCATTAGAGTTGTCTATTCAGTGTTTTCGATCTTGGAGTCGTCTATTCCAGTACTTTTCTTTATCCAGTTTGATATTTCTTAATTGCTGTCACGTTTTAGGAAAGTATATAAGTTTTTTTTTTTTTTTTTTTTTTTTTTTTTACTTGAGACTAATGCTTTTAGTTTTTTAAATACTTTTTTTTGTAGGATCTTGTCATTGGAGTTGTTCATTCCAGTATTCTTTCTTTGTCGTTGGAGTCGTCTATTCCAGTATTCTTTCTTCGTCGTTGGAGTCGTCCATTCCAGTATTCTTTCTTCGTTACCAATTTGGTGTTTCCTTAATGCCGTCACGTTTTAGGGAAGTATATAGGTTTTTTTTTTTGAGCTTTTTGTTTGTTACTTGATTGGTTTTTCAGGTGCTTTTTTTTGGTGGAATTTTGGCATTGGAGTTGTCCATTCTGGTACTTTTTCTTCACCGATGATATCGTCCAATTTGGTTTTTCCTTATTACCATCATGTTTCAGGGAAGTACATAGGTTCTTTTTTTTTGAGCTTTTTTTGTTACTTAATATTAATGATTCAGTTTTTTAGGTGCTTTTCTTTGTGGGATCCCATCTTGTTGGAGTCGTCCATTCTGATACTTTTTCTTCGCCGATAGTGTCGTCCAATTTGGGTTTTTCTTATTATCGTCACATTTCAGAAAAATATAGATTCTTTTTTTTTTTTGAGCTTTTTGTTTGTTACTTGATCATTTTTTTGGATGCTTTTTCTTGGTGGAATTTCGTCATTGGAGTTGTCCATTCCGGTACTTTTTCTTCGTTGATGGTGTCATTCAATTCGATGTTTCTTTATTGCCATCACGTTTCAGGGAAGTATATAAATTCTTTTTTTTTTAAGCTTTTTTTTGTTACTTGATATTAATGATTTCAATTTTTTAAATGCTTTTTCTTCATGAGGTCCTGTCATTGGAGTCGTCCATTTCGGTACTTTTTTTTCGCCAATGGTGTTATCTAATTTGGTTTTTCCTTATTGCTGTCACATTTCAGGGAAGTATAGGTTCTTTTTTTTTTGAGCTTTTTGTTTGTTACTTGATTGTTTTTTTGGGTGCTTTTTCTTGGTAAAATTTTGTTGTTGGAGTCGTCCATTCCGGTACTTTTTTTTTGTCGATAATGTCGTTCAACTCGGTGTTTCTTTATTGCTGTCACATTTCAGAGAAGTATATAGGTTCTTTTTTTTTGAGCTTTTTTTTTTGCTTGATATTAAATGATTTCAATTTTTTAGGTGCTTTTTCATGAAATTTCATTGTTTGAGTCATCCATTTCGGTTCTTTTTCTTCATCGATAGTGTTGTCCAATTCGATGCTTCTTAATTGCCGTCACGTTTCAGGGAAGTATATAGTTTTTTTTTGTACTTTTTTTTATTACTTGAGACTAATGCTTTTAGTTTTTTAGGTGCTTTTTCTTCATGAGATCTCGTCGGAGTCATCCATTTCTATATTCTTTCTTCGTCATTGGAGTTGTCCAATTCGGTGTTTCTTTATTGCCATCATATTTTAGGAAAGTATATAGGTTTTTTTTTTTTTTTGTTGATATTAATGATTTCAGATTTCAGTTTGTTAGGTGCTTTTTTTGCATGGGGGTTCGTTGTTAGAGTCGTCTATTACGTTACTTTTTCTTCGTCGATGATGTCGTTCAATTCAGTGTTTTTTAATTGCTGTCACGTTTTAGAGAAATACATAGATTCTTTTTTTTTGAGCTTTTTTTTGTTACTTAATATTAATGCTTTCAGTTTTTTAGGCGCTTTTTCTTTGTGGGATCCTGTCGTTGGAGTCGTCAATTCTGGTACTTTTTTTTCATCGTTGGTGTCATCCAGTTTGATGTTTTTTTTTCGTTGGAGTCGCTCATTGAAAAAGTGTAAAATTCTCTGTACAGCACAAAAATACACTATGACGCTATTCTAATACAACTAAAATACTCTAACTAAACCCTAATAATGATAAGGCAACGATCGAGGCGTAAAAAGACTTGGTTGAGTAACTAGGGTCAATTAGAGCTCTGAACTACGTCACGAGTCTCTTAATACGATATTACGGGATTTGGTTACTTATCTCTTCCGTTAATACAGGTTTTATTAATCGGAAAATTAGTAGAACAAATGCTTCTATATAAAGAACTTAGAAGGTTTCGAACTTCGTGGAGAAAATCTCTACTTTTTTACTTATACAAGAATAATGCGAATTCAAATTTTTCTAGCTTTTCTAATTTTTCACTCTTTTCTTATTTTTCCCGGTATTCTAATTTTCTAACTGTTCTTTGAATTACCCGAATTCTAGGAATTCCAGGAATTCCAGGAATCTGTATTGCCAATTACTGCAGCAGCAACTTTTTTGGGAAGGGTGATCCTAACTTTTACACCATTCTGATGTTTTCGTAGTTGTAATTGGAGTAGCTATTCCTATACATTCTCTTCGTCATTAGTATCATGCTTCTGTTAATGAAGGTTTATTTTAGGATTAGTTATTTAGAATATCGATTTGCTAGTTTAGATAATATTAATGGTTAGATTGTGGGTCAATTACTGTATGTGATTAATTGTGACTTCAATATTATTGTATAATAAAATATTTTGTTGATGTAATAAAACTTTGTAAATTGTTTTGCTTTTGAATTATATATAAGTAATATAAAAATAAAAAAATTTATAGCCATATTGTGAGTACTGATATGCATTTAAAATAAATCGATAGGTATCTGGTAATTTATTGGCTTGCCTTAAATACAGAACACTTGATACATCTACCAGTTTTTCTATAAGTATATCGATTTACCCGATATTTAATATAAATTTGCTCTACATAATTCTGATAGATATCCTATACTAGCCAAATCTCTGTTTGAAATCGGAAACATATCGGCTAATTATAGGACAAAAATATCAGTATAATGATAGTATGCTTTAGGATATATATCGGGTCCTATCAGCATGCCGATATTGTTCTGATATAGCTTAGTTCGACCTGTATAAATTAGACAAGACTTAGTGCACAGCCAGAACAAGTATACACACCTTTGAACGATGACAAGATAAACAAGATGACAAAGACAAAAGTTTTTGATAAAACTACAAAAAGAAAAGACGAAGATATTAGAAAAGTTTAGAACAAAAAAAAGGGAAAGAAAAAGGAAAAATAAGGACCAGAAAGTTGTGGATAGAAGATTTTTGGATATGATGAATGCCAAAAATCAAGGATTAAATAACAGACAAACACAATTAGGGTAGTGTCATTTATCACCTGATTTTTTTTTATCAGAAGCTTACCCCCTCTTAATATATAATTTGATCAGGTCCTTATATATAATTTTAAAATTTTTACTTCCCTCTCCCCTAAAAAATCATTTGATTTTTGTCACATCCCTTAGTCATAATGAAAAGATCATATAATATATGCAGAAACACAATCGCAACTAACAATGTAATTGCTAGAATAGGAAATCTATAGACAAATAAATGCTAATTTTAGACAGATTAGCACATAAAGTTCAGAGACCTCACTTTTTAAGGTACGGAAAGACAAAGAATTTTTAATTAATAGAATATTGTAGAAATTTTATTTTTAGAATTGAAGATTCAAAGCATACGGTTAAACAAAAACTTGTTTAACAATTATAGTAGACAAAGACACTCCATATAGAATATACGAGCAAATACTTTGAAAATCTTTTAATTAAATTCATATTACTATAAAACTTTATAAATAAATACCCCTTGTATTTAAATTTCTATTCCCTAATTTAGTAATTTTTCACCCAATATCTTAAAAATAGAAACTCTCACCCTACAACAATTACAGCCCAGACTATAGATGCTTTAAATAATTTTCTTGTACTATGGAATCAGAACCCCTCGCCATAAACAATAGTTTAATTATAACTGAAAATTTTATTGTAGTATATGATGGAACTGATATCATTACGTTATTCCAATATGTACTAAAAACAGAACTGGACCTACCTATACAACATTTGGAAAATGTTGATGTATTAAATAATTATTTTTTAGATATAGCATTTGACAATCTTACTTTTTCTGTCAAACCTATAGAAGAAGAATTAGATATACTTCTTCCACAACCTGATGCAGATATTGTACAGATACAAGATACAGAAAATGAAGTCTTCGCTTGACTTATTAAGGATCTTACAGAAGTAAAAGAAGAAGTTTTTATTCGAAACAACCCTTTAATTGGAGTAAACTTTAAAGAAAAACTTAGAGAAATTATTAGCCAATTAAAAGAAGAGAGCCATGAAAAATCACATGATCAACAAATTCGAATGTTAGAAACATCTTATTATCTAGAACAGCTAAAGAAAGAAGCTGATAGTAATAAGGAAAAGATACAGAAGATTCGTAATAATCTTAAAAAAGCTCTAAGATCCAGACATGCTGCCCGAGCATAAAAATGTGCTGAACAGATTTACCAACTTCTCCAAGTTTGTGGATTATCTTATCTTTATTCCACTATGACAATTACCTTTAGCAACTTGGAAGAATTAAATGAAGAAGACTTTTTGATATTGCTAAGAGAAGTTAGAATTCATGGAGTTTATTCTTAAAGGAGATGGAAATGTTATAGAATGAGTTGTAGTATTAGTTTTAGTATTAAGTTTATTATTAGTTATTATTAGTTATATTATTATTATTA